TTATGATAGAAGAAAGCTGAGGTGTTCGCCCATTTAAATACCAAAAAATATTGTCTGAATTCATTTAAAAATCTTCCAAGTTCTTCTTTTATGTATGTACTTGATACATAAAACGATGGGAAATCCTAATTGATGCTGTGCAATTCCAAATCGTCAAATACTTGCAGATCTGCAAATAATAAGATTGTATTAGTAAAGTATCAAGCAAACTGAACGATTCTATATATGTTTATGCATGATAGGTGTATAAGATGTCACTCTCTCTCTTTTTCTTTATTTTTCCATTTCTTTCTCCCCTTCTTATACTTTTTATATTACTCCTCTTTATGTTATAAAAGAAAAGATATAAACCTACCACAACAAATATCAAGATAGAAATAATATGAATATGAAGAAGATAAAAATGTAAATATATTTATAAGAATATGTATATGTAATTATGCTGTATTCTCCCAATGTTTAGTAACCTAAAAACAATAAAAAGTAATACTCTATTAGTATAATATAAACAAAATTAAATATATGAGTGTTGTGTATATGGGTAACACGTTCCTTGTTAATATTTAAAGAATAACGAAGAGAATAAAGACAATATACACTAAAAACTTTGTCACATTGCACAGAAGAACACAGTCGTATGAAAAAGAAATCTTGTTGCAGATATTTATAAAACAATTGACATAAAGCATTGTGTAGCCATCCTTCAAGAATTAAAATAAATTGAAATAAAACAATTGACATCTCTCATGTCAACTATGAAAGTATAAATTCCAATATTCAATATCTATATGGAAAAGTTTTTCTTATTTTATTTCAATTATTAATAACTAATGAAATAATTAATTAATATAAAGTAAGCAATTATATATGGATTTTGATTGAGCAATTAATGAACAATTAAGAACCTTTATTCATTTTTTTCTGTTTTTGCGGTTCTATGCCATTATTATTGTTATATGCAATTGCATTAATGCATATTTTAAATAACTAGCACGGTTGCGCCATCTATTAGATGTACTGTGAAATAAACCTCGAAACGTAAGATATAATGAGATACTTTTTACGGGCCAACCAAAATTCATGGGATTGATGGTATGGGACTTGTTTAAATTAGTCATTATAAATCAAGAGACATTTTCATCGAAGTTTTTCGTAATACCATAGATTCTATGATTTTTCTTAATACTCTTTCGATGAACGAAACAAATTCGTGGATTCGATTCGTAAAAGCTTTCACCTGATGATGGACTACTAAGAATTTACAAGGTAAAAGCAAATAGGATAGTCGTCGTCCTATCCCCCGAAATCGATTTACGTAACGAACCAAGCCTCATGTATATTTATGATCCTAGAAGAATAGAGAAGAAAAGAAAAAGAGAAAGAGTAAGAATAAGAGAGAGAAAAGGACAGAGGGAAAGCTAATTAAGATATCGGCCAGATCGTTTTTGCAAAACTCACGAACATGACTTTCTGCGTGAGAGTCGATTAATTAACGAAAAGTACACGATCTTTCTGTCCAAATCGATAAAAAGAAAAAAAAAATAAGAAGGAAGAAGAATATATTAAGTAGAACAAAATCGAACAGATTGGATATTTCGAGCAGGTAATATTAAAGTGTAGGAGGAGGTGGTAGATGGTAGAATAAATGATCCAACAACGAAAAGAAAAAGAAGTAAAAAAAACTAATAAGAGGATAGAACGTTCATCGAGATAAATTAAATGTTATTTTATCATACAAAGTTATTTATTGTAAAGTATACTTTAAATTTTATTGCGTAATGATATCTATTCTATATACATAGAGAAAAAGAAAAAAGGAAAGATAGATGAAATAAAATAAAAATGAAAGAGAAAAAGAAAAAGAGAGAGAGAGAGACCCTCCGGAGGGGATGAGTATAATTTTATTGTCTAATAAATATTTATTATATGAAAAAGAGAACGAGATCAAATGCGGACGAAAAAATGGTGAAAAGAAAAGAAATAAAAAGGAGAGAATATAAAAGGAAAGGAAAGAAAGGAAAAAAGAAATAAAGGAGTGAGGGAAGGGAAAAGACGCAGAGAATATAATTTTATAATATAGAGGTAGTTGTTATTATATATAATATATATATATACATGAAGAGGGGGAGAGAGAGAGATAGTATATACATAAGTAAGCACCTATATTCGAAGTAGGCGGACAAACGGTTTAGCCGATAAGAATCGTTATAATCCAGCACGATATTCGCGTAATATTATGTATCAAAAAGTCTGGTAGGCACACGCGTGCCTTTAAAATCTAAAATAAAAAAAAAGGGGAGAAAGAAATTGAAAAAAAAAACAGAGAGAGAGAGAGATTGAAAAAGAGAGAGAGAGAGAGAGAGAGAGGAGCTGAGAAATCGAAAGAGAAAGAGAAAGAGAAAGAGAGAAGTTCGAAGCTGGAAAAAGAAATATATAATCGTCCAGGCCAACGAACAACCGTGGCCTCGGTTTCAGGGTCGTTTCAACTATTATCCTGCCGCCAAGGATGCAGAAGAGTGCATCGTTCGAGACTTTCAGCCGATGCTGAGAGAGAAAGAGAGAGAGATAGAAAGTCTCTTGCACTCCCAAGAACAAACTCCTCCACCTCCTGTTTTACTTATATCGATCGATTCATCGATAAATAGATATGATAGATGGATAAATCGATTGCTCAATCCTTATAATAACAACTAAATTTATTTTTTCCTTTCGGTTTATTGTCTCTCTCTCTCTCTTTCTCTCTCTTTCTCTCTCTCTCTTTAACTTTAACATAATCTAAAGCACTAAAATATTATTAATAAATACCAATTTGAAAGTAATGAGGATTAATAAGTACGTAAGGTAAAAGAAAAAGAATTCGATAGACTCAGATAACACTCAACTATAATATTTGACTTTTTATTTAGTAGAATTTTCGTAGTTGTGTTGCTGTTGCTGTTCGTTTAAAAGAGATTGCACCCGTGGGTGTAAAAATGTTGTTACAACGCAGTAATCCCACTATCTCACTCTCTCTCTCTCTCTCTCTCGAATCTGAGAAGATCTTAAAGCCGCGGGCACGTGTTATACGCGAGCATTCTCTTTTATTACTTATTAGCGAGAACCCAAAGTGTGTGCTGCACGGTGTTTCGCTCGACGATGCGATTTTAATGATGCGTTTCAAGGTCTCTCTCTCTCTTTCTCTCCTTCTTTCTCACTCTTTCTTTCTTTCTTTCTTTTTATCTTTCTCTTTCTTACTTGTTCTCGGGGTCTTTGATACGAGCAAAAGACGAAACGACGGAATGACGACGGTAGGACTTTCGAACACATTCTAACATCGAAGTCGAGCTGTTGCACTCGTTGACAGCCTCTCTTTCGATCGATCGATATCTCCTTTTAAATCCTACCTTCTTCCCTTCCCTTCCCTTCTCTTCCCTTCCCTTTTCTCAATCCATCTGAATCTTTTACTTCTCTTTACGAAAACATACGCTTTTCCCGAGTTGATCCGAAACTCGAAGTTCACTTAACCATTCCATTTAACACGATCGTTTGATCATTCTCTTCGGAAGTGTACACTCCTTCTTCCACATCCTATTTTGTTCAATCGGACAACAACCGAAGTCGAAGGCCAACCATGCTTGATATCGTCCCCTCTCTCTCTTTCTCTCTCTCTTTCTCTCGATTTATCCTTTATTTTATTTTCCATCCTCCGTTGGTTGCGACTTACAAGGTCTGCGAGAACGCATCAGGAGAGTGACCGGACACGAGCAAATAAAATCCAGTGCGCTATGTAAGATCAGGGCCGAAAGGTATACGAACCGAAAGATTCTTCATCTTTGTATATGTGTAATGTCTATGTGTAAGTCTGCCTGTCCGTTTGGATTTGTATTTTAGTTATTTCGCGTTGGATAGAGCTTTCCTTTTTTTATTATTTATCACGAAGGAGAGATGAGAATATAATAATGATGTATGATATTTGGCGAGGATGATGATCATTCGTTTTCCATTTGTTTCTTTTTTTTTTTCTTTTTTCATTAAATTGTGACTCTTGGTATATAAGTACGAAGTAAAGTAATTTTGTTCTTTTCGAATAATTAAGATTTAAATAATAGTAATAATAATAAATGAAATCTAATGTTAAACTGGCATATCTTCTTTTATAATTCAAATCGTTAATATAATAAAATAGTCTTTTATTCATTTATTTATTTATAGTGATCTGAAGATGGAAAACATAATGCTGCAAGATTCTCGTAAAGATCAAATCAAAATAGTTGGTAAGCGAATAGCAACTAAATAAATCTGTGATGTTAATCATCGAGAGTTATAAGATATCATTATATTAAAATAATAATTGGTTTCATTTCAATAGACTTTGGATTAAGTAACATCTATCATAGCGAAGATCCTTTAAAAACACACTGCGGATCACCGGAATACGCAGCACCAGAACTTTTCGTCGTTGGTAAAAAATATGGTCCTGAAGTCGATTTCTGGAGTCTGTGAGCAAAACTTTGCCATTGAAATTTTTTATTACATAAATTACCTTTTCTCGAATCAATATTATAATATTAAAATGCAAAAGATTATTATTTCGAGATTATTAAGGATAAAAATGAAATTTGCGCCAGAAGATAGGCAACAATACATCAGTTACGCATTGTACTATGCAACTTGTTATACCAAGTTTCAAAATAAATTTTACGCCGCGTAGGGTAACTTAAATAATTTTCTTATCGACCGAACTCGCTCGTAGTAAAAATTATCGACGCGGTATAAAGTATTGCCTACGATCAGGCGCACATATCGCAAAATAAAAGAACTAAAATTTAATTTTATTTTTGATTCACATACCACATTCTTACATTAAATTGATAAAAATCATAAAGTATTTAAGATAAAACGTTTAAAAAATAACATTGAATTCGAGAAATTGTAGAATATAGTCCGTTTATAGATTCATAACCATAAATAATAAAATACCGATTGAAATATCTATCAGAGGTGTCGTCTTATACGGAATGATGACCGGCCGACTACCCTTTTTAAGTCCTTGCGACAAACAAACGTCATCGGAAGAACGTCGGCGAAGGTTAATGGCTCAAATAAACCGCGGCTTAACGGCCCTACAAGTGAAAAACATGTCGAGGATGTCGAATGATTGCAAGAATCTGATTAACAAATTGCTCACACCCGTTCCGCATAAAAGGATTACGATCCAAGAACTTTGCCATCATCCTTGGATCGCCTGCAAGCTTAGGAATGTTTCAAGAATCACCAGTGAGACCGATTTGGATGTGACCGATCATAAGACCGTAATTTTATTATTTTTTATATCATTTTTCCATTCACATCATTTTTTTGATAATAAATAATTTAAACGATCTTTGATATATATATGTTATTAATTTTTAATCTCATAAAATGGCATCTCATGCAATAGAAATCCATAAAAACGAATTTTATATTCCAAATCTTTTGAAATACATCGAATATAATTTTTGAAATATGTTATAATCAATACTATATGGATAGTATAATAAAAGTAAATAGTATGAGACATTTTAGAAGATAGTGACGCACGGTCTATGAATTTCAACTGTTCCAGATCATCGCTGAGATATCCAAGATGACTCACCTGGATCGGAACACCATCGAGATGGAAATTATTCGACGAAAGTACGGCGAAATAGGCGGCATGTACAATATCAAGTACGACAGTCGTAAAGAATGAACATTCATCGTAAACTTCAAATTGCATTTATTTCTTTATATATTTTTTTTTGTCTTTTCTTTTCTTTCTTTCTTTCTTTTATTTACGAGGAGACCCGTTAATCCGCCTACGTGTCGCGAACACTCGAAACATCGATTTATCCTTTTCTTATCTTCCCGTTTAAATCGCTAAATTTCAAAATACACGACACGTATACGTTCTCTCTCTCTCTCCTTTTCATTCTAAATGAGAACACTAATATATCATATTCTTTGTCTTATACAATCCTCGATAATAATTGTAATTTTTTAATTGATTGACGTTTTATTTTTTTTTAATAATCAGATCACACAAAGTACGTCAAGTTGCTGCTTTGTACGCACGTCATACAGGATCGTTATCATTGTTGAGATATATTCCACAACACGTGAAACAATCGTACCCAGCAACAACCTCGATGAGGTAACAAAAAATGTATATAAATGAATTATTCGAAATTTATTAATATTCGAATTAATGTGTCATTTTGAAAAGAACCGCAGCCGGTGAAACGACATATAAACCACCATCGAGATATTCACCGTATGCCAAGGCCGACGAAAAATCAACCGGATATGTTGCTATTTCTCCTTTAAAAGAGAATAAAAAATATTGGGACAGCAAAAGCGCATCTTACGGGGAGGTGAAGAATTCTTGGAAAGTTCAAAAAACTTCGAATACTTCCTGTACCGTTTGCAAAATTTTACCCTCGACGAATATTCAGCAACCGCAAGTTTTGAAGAAGAACACGAACGACGAACACGCAGTAACCGTGATCAAGAATTCGGACAAAAGGTAATTTGACCAATGATTCGATCGAATGATAGTCGAAGAATAATACCAAAAATACGTTTGCATACTTTTCTTAGTAACGAACAGAAGCAAACGAGCAGATTGGTCGTTCCTCAAACGAATATTCGTTTATTGCCAACTTTCTCGAGAAGTTCTTTTTCACAAGCATCTTTCGGTTGTCCTCAATTCGAAATGGTCCATCGTAATCCCATCAAAAGATGGTCCGAAATATGTGAGAAGAGAGAAACCGTTCGACAACAAAGACGTTCGACTCATTCCGTAATTTTTTATTTTATGTTAACGTTACTGGATGCATGATTACGTTTTATTGTTCGTGTGCATTTGTTAAATTTATAAATTACAATGTTTTCATTTCAGGTAACCCAAACTGAATCAAATGCGATTTCGTCAACGTCTTCGGTAATCAAAACCCGACCGCGAACATTAGAATCCAGCACGTTAAATCGAAATACTTTGAATCGTAAATTCGTTTTGGAAAAAGTAGAGTCGAAAAAAGAAATCGACAAAATTGTACCTTTTTCGAAGTCTTCAATATCTGTTAAGAAAAAAATCATATCTGCTTGTGATAATATCTCGCCTAAACATTTTTTGCAAACAAATACTTCTAACAGAAGTATAGTTAAGATAAATGAAAAAGTTAAATAATGAATGAACGATGATTTTTCCTCAAATAGCTATGTGTTTTTTTTTAATGGTATTTAATAATTTCAAAATTAATTTCATTTGTGAATATTAAAAATTTTCTAAATCTTAAACAAAATATATTACGAATTATTTTGATGTATATCGAAATTTTTATGATTAACAATAAACGGTTTATAATATTTTCTTATAAATTAGACACATTTAATATTACGATAGCGTATCTAATAATCAAGTTAATTCGTACAAACGTTTGAATTTAGCGCGTAAAATTCGATACTGCATGTTCCTGTAATCGATAGTGCAGCCATCTGAATTAATCAGAAACCGGTTCTTCTTGCCACGCAGAAACGTTAGAGGTTATTGTGTGTCATCAAGATATTTTGTTCAAATAGATAAAAATATCATTAAAAATGTCGACATTAGCTGTGATCGGAAAGTTTCTTCAAGAGTATACGAAAACTACACCAAAAAAGCTGAAAATAATTGATGCCTATTTACTTTACGTGTTTTTGACGGGTGTCATACAGTTTGTGTATTGCTGCCTTGTTGGCACATTTCCATTCAATAGTTTTCTAAGTGGATTTATTTCATGTGTCTCTTGTTTTATTTTAGGAGGTATGGTTAACATCCATTATACAATTATAATCTATTTTTACAAATTGTACGAATATTTTTTTTTTAATAGTAAAATCTACAGGTTATCATAAATTCATTTTGGTTTGCAGTTTGTCTACGATTACAAGTTAATCCACAAAACAAAAGTCAATTCCATGGAATAAGCCCAGAGAGAGGATTTGCAGATTTCATATTTGCCCATATAATACTTCATATCGTTGTGATGAACTTCATTGGTTGATTAAAGTATTTATCATTTGTTTAATCTATATCAATTTAAATGATAAACAATCAGAAATGAAATACGAAAAAAGATCATATCGTTTTACGTTAAAAAAAAATATGTATATTTGCATAGACTATTGACTCGTTTTGATTGAGTTTATTTCAGCATAAGCATATTTTTGTCATAGAAGTAATATGTAAGTTTCTATAAAAAAAAAAAAAAAAAAAAATTACTACTAAGAAAAAGAAAAAAAAAGAAGAAAATATGTAAGAGAAAGTAATAAATCACGAAGAAATTAATTCGACTAGTTTTATGCTTCAAAAACAAACGATGTATAAACTACGACAATTTATAATACATTTTATTTGTCTCTTATTTTTCATACAACCTTCTTTAGGGTTGGGAGGGAGGTACAAGAAACTTTATATGTTCTTCTAAATTTAATATATATTTTAAACTCATATTTACAATGACGTTAAAGGGAAAAATCTCTAACGCGCATAAGTGCATAAGTTCTTTTTCCACATATACGAAAGTATCGTTCTTGCACCGTCAAGAGATGTTTTAAGTTTTTCGTTTGTTAGAAAAAAAAAAAAAAAAAGAAAAAAAATCACATATGGTGCAAGAGTACAAATCGTTGATGCTTTTTAGAAATACATTTATAAATAAATTAACATGTATATCTTACAAGAGATATATATATATATTAAACTATCGAATAGTAAATATCCAAATATATGTAATAATATATATATATTTAGCAAAGAAATTGGATTACTTTTGTTTCTTTTTCTCAACTAAATATCGTATTTATTTGATGAACGAAACAAATATTTTCCAAGCTCTCAAACGTGTAATTTTTCATTATCTCTGATTTCGATACTAAAAGCTAAAGTGGAAATGCTAAAATTTCACCTGGCGAATTGCCATACACAAAAAGTTGTATCTTCACAACATGTTTATCTCTTATTTTCCTACCTACGAGTGACTTATGACCTAATTAAATAAATAGCATCTTTACATGATTAGAATGAAACAAAAAAAAATCAAGTAATACGAATACGAATACAAAGAAAATTAAAACACATGGTATAACAATGGACATAACATTATTATAACTTAAAAAAATAAATTTCCATTCGTATGAATTTAAAGCCAGTTATTTAACGATGTATGAATATCATACAAACATACACGTTATATATCTTCAACCGTATGTGTTAAATGTAAATGTGTGTATATATATTTAGAAGAAGTTTAATTATATCACATAAGCAGCCAAGGAAACTCAATCAATATAGTTATGATTCGTTGTTAAAGGAATACGTAATACATAAAATTAATTAAAATAAGTTCTTCTTTCTTTCTATCTTTTTTTTTTTTTTTTATCTTCTCGAGATATTATCAAACTTGCAAAGTACGTCATAAAAACAAGAAAAGTCTTTTCAAGGTATATATATATATCTAACTTAAAATAAAAAATTATAGATTTTTATGTATGTAAATGTTTAATTTAAATACGAAGTTGACGAGCAATCAGCATATTTAGCTTCGTTACTTGTAAATTCGATTTGTTTCTTTTTTTGTATTTTATCAATATCTTCTTTTAGATTTTTTTTTTAAATACACAAAAGACTGCACTATCAATTTTCAAGTACAATGCCTAAAATATATGTATACATATACATATACATATACATATATATTGAGAATGTAAAACAAAAATGAAAATATATTAATACGGATTATATATATATTATTATGCAAAGCTTTCGACTGAACGATAACTATTTTGATGTTTTCGTTGGTATACAATATTAAACAATAATTAATAAAGCGTATCTATGTATGTATGCATGTATGTGTGTGTGTGTGTGGTTGTTATGTGTGTTTCTTTCACACAATTTAATATGTTACTAACATTCGTTATTTGCAAATGGAATTTCCTCTCTTGGTGTACAATAAAAGTATATATATATATATGGTAATCAATGTGAAAAACAAACGACTCGTCATTCGATTTTCTATTAATTAATCATTTAAGCAATGTTTCATACAATTCACTCTCATTACCAAATGATTCACATTTTCTTACAAATGAGATAATTCTCTTTATGCAAGATAATACATATACATACATACATATATATATATATGTTTCTTATAATTCGTTTTATCAATCTAAAAAATATAATAAACGTATTCTCTACAGTTTTATTTAAAGTCACGGCATTGGGAACCAATAATTGTTTTTAACAAAACAATAACTAAAGATTCATATCTATTAATAAGAAGATAATTAATTAGATTAGTTTTATTAAATCTTTGACTATGTATAGTGTTTAGAAACAAAGTGTAATAATGTTTAACTCATTATATACCTTAAACATTACATATAGGATGTATTTGTATGCACTATTCACAGTCAAAAAATTTTTCTAATAATAAAATGAATACTGAAAATATTTTTGTTAGTAAAGTGACTTTTAGGATACACCGTAATATATGTATGTATATATAATTAATGAAATAATTTTTATACTTTAATAGAACATTTATCTCTTGTTTACAATTATTTTTTTTTTCTTCTCATCTGCTTGGCACGGGATCATTTATTTATAATTATGGTTAATGTATATATTATATATATATATATATAGAGAGAGAGAGAGAGTTTAATAATAAATGAATAATTGATGAAAGAAGGAAAAAAAGAATGCAGAAAATCATCTGATGAAAAAGATAAATTATATCTAAATGTATAAAAATTCACGTAATTTTACGCATCGAGTCATCATTTTTCATATATATATATACATATGTCAATGTACATACATTTGCATGTACATATACATATATGGCACTACTTATTCTAATTAAGAAGAGAAAATGATAACGTAAAAAAGAAAAAGGATTATGAGCTATTTTTGAAACGCATCATCAAAAAACGAATGCTTCTTTCTTTTTTCCTTTCTTTCTTTTTTTCTTTTTCCTAAATCACAAAAAGCCTAATTAATGGACGAAATTTGGACATATCTTATCTTTAAAACTCATCTTCGTATATACCGAAAAATATTGGACTTTCTAATGGTCGTCATCGTCGTTTGCACAAAATATATTCTAACTAGCATGTGTATATACACAGGACAGACACACACACACACACACAAACACACATATGTATATACACATATACACAAATCATGTTTAATCAATTTCACGTATATACATATATAAATATATGTACAAGGTGAGCTCAAGGATTTTTAAACGTGAGCTAATAGTTCAGCTAATGATGATATAAAATTGAATTATTATATTATTAAAGTAATAATCAATTTCAATTCTTCAAATGATCAGAAAATGTTCATTCTACAAAGAAATAAAAGAAAAAGAAAAAGAATAATCAATTACTTTTTCCAATCATCAAGCTTAACTAATTATTGGCTTAGTTTAATAATACTTAAACCACCTTGCATATATACAAGATATATATATGTATATGGATCACACAATACACATACATTGTTGACATTAATGTACCTTTTCAAATTGATCTAAGAAAAACATCGAAAAGCGTATTGACATGCGGCCTGTTTTTTCTCATATATTTTAGGGGAGGAGGAGGAGGAGTTTTATTATTATTATTTTTTTTAATACTTTTTAATTTTAACGAGTTTCGGAATAAGGAGAAGCTAGAGAGAATGATGAATAATAAAGTATGTATTGTTTGAGACATGTAAGAACGATCATATTCGAAAGCGAGTATATTAGCTAATAGACTCTCTCTGATCAGTTTTTTTTTCAGCGCATGGAACATTACCCTAAATGCTGTATTAAAACGTATCCTCCTATTTAAATATGATACTTTTAATTCTTATAAGAACCAAAGCGTGAAAGGAGAAAAAGAGAAGAACAAGAAGAAAAAGAAAAATAAAATCATCAATCGTTAACATCACACAAAAAAAAAAAAAAAAAAAAAATTACTACTAAGAAAAAGAAAA